ATCCTATCGTGACCCCTCTGTCATGATATGTATCATATCGCCAAATTCTTGCCAATACACAGCCCTAGTTAAAACTCTGTTTAGTCAAAGTTAAACATGAAACATCAAAGTTCATTACAAGTGGCCCTTGGAGGGCCACCATRACGCTCATGTGGCCCTCGGTGAAAATGAGTTTGACAGCCCTGGTTTAGAGGATTAGTTTTTCCACTGAAACCATCAGTAAACCAATTAGCTGCAGCTAAATGAGGTTTTGTCAACTTTAAAGAGCATGTGACATGCCTATCCTTCAAATATAAAGTCAAAGAAAGCATCTTTATACACATGATTTTACCCATTTTGTCACAACCTATTTCCTTTTTCAATGTGTCTCAGCCAGAGTGAAACAGGAAGTGACATCAAAGGGCAACTCATTAATAAAATAAACTCGCTGTTTACTAAAACAAAATTATTTAAACTTTAACTTTTCTTCRTCTCTCTTTGATAGCRACTAAAAATAATGTAAAGAAACATCAGATTCTTCTCTACAGTCTGTGTTGTTTAGCTTTTGCAACAACGCTGTGTTTACAYGCCGACATTCCCCTTTGACATCACTTCCTGTTTCTTCACGTGCAAATATCTCAGCCGTTCATRGTCGTACTTTATTACACTATTTTCTACATGCTTACTGTTTTTAGTGTTAGTGTCCACTGCTTTTACAGTTAGCATTAGCTTCCTCAGATTATTTATATTTAGCYGTTTAGCATTAGCAAAGCTATAGTTTTAGTTAACTGTTCCTACCATTGGTGATAAATACAGCAGCTTATTTAGGTAATGTAACTAAAATCAGTTAGGACTTCACGCAGCTCAGTGGGACCCCAAACTTTTCAGCTTTTGACCCTCAAAATACCAGCAGCAGACACCTGAGCCCCCGACTGTTGTTGGATCATTAAACGTTGTTTTTACGTCAAAAAAATAAAAGGATAGTAACAATATTCATTATGCTATTTTGTCCATTTTAAAGTGGGCCTATTGTGGTGGTCTTAGCACAAGTTAGGATCCATCTGTGGGCTAAAAAACATGTTCATTTGATTTATTTCACAAAAAAAATCTCAAATAATGAAATTTCACCTTTTCAGTTCTTCCTCTTCTTCAGCTATGGAAACCCTCCTCCCCTATCCCCCCCATCAGTTTGTTTACGTTAGCTCTGCCCCCCGACATGGTAGAAGTTTCCAAAGTGAAATTATTTTCACAAACTACAGCTTTCTTTGGCAATACTGTTAGAACATTGTCATCAAAGATAAAAATAAAATAATACAGGCATCTCTGTTCTCCATGGCTGCTGTACAAACAGAACAACTATCGTACCTTGAGGAAGTGGGCGGAGCTTCACCTGGGTTGCCTCGTGGTGAGCAGGACTCTGGTTTAGGTTACTAGGTGACCGTTATTATGATGTCAGAATAATGTGCTTTGAGAAATACCATGTTTCTAGATACCTAAAAATACATGTAATTACAGCTTAAAAAACGACTGGGTGCATTTTTTTTGGTGTTTCGACTGCTTCTCTAAGCAGTAGAGACCCAAAAATAAGTTTAAAAACATGAAAAAAGTGAGTTTTGCATAATAGGTGCCCTTTAAACAATTCTTTGTGACCTAATAATTTGTCTTTTTTGTTTTTACTAATGTTAAAACTATAGTGGTTTACAGCAAAAACCTCTCTAGTTGTTTTATTGAAGAAATATTTCTTAAACAAATACACATACATATTTAAATATATACTTGAAATATTACTTTTAATATTTTAAATATCTAAGACTCAGTTCTGGTTAGTAAATATATGTATGAATATCCAGATGGTCAGAACTCATTGACTTTAATGAAAAAACACCTCTGA